TTTTGATTGGGTTGTTTGGGCTTTTTTTTTTTATATTGAGCTGTATGAGCTGTTTGTATATTTTGGAGATTAATCCCTTGTTGGTCGTGTTGTTTGCAAATATTTTCTCCCATTCTGTAGGTTGTCTTTTCATTTTGTTTATAGTTTCCTTTGCTGTGCAAAAGATTTAAGTTTAATTAGGTCCCATTTGTTTATTTCTGTTTTTATTTTCATTACTCTAGGAGATGGATTGAAAAGATATTGCTGTGATTTATGCTTGTGTTCTGCCTATGTTTTCCTCTAAGTGTTTTATAGTATACGGTTTTACATTTAGGTGTTTAATACATTTTGAGTTTAATTTTGTGAATGGTGTTAGAGAATCCTCTAATTTAATTCTTTTACATGTAGCTGTTTTCCAAGAACCACTTATTGAAGAGACTGTCTTTTCTCCATTTTATATTCTTGCCACTTTTGTCGTGGATTAATTGACCATAGGTGTGTGGGTTTATTTCTGGGCTTTCTATCCTGTTCCATTGATTTATATTTCTGTTTTTGAGCCAGTACCATACTGTTTTGATGACTATAGCTTTGTAATTTAGTCTGAAGTCAGGGAGCGTGACTCCTCCCTCTCTGTTTTTCTTTCTCAAGATGGCTTTGGCTACTCAGAGCCTTTTGTGTTTCCATACAAATCAAAAAATTTTTGTTCTTGTTCTGTGAAAAAGGCCATTGATAATTTGATAGGGATTGCAGTGAATCTACAGATTGCCTTGGGTAGTGTGATTTAACAGTATTGATTCTTCCAAGCCAAGACCACGGTATGTCTTTCCATCTGTTTGTGTCCTCTTTAATTTCTTTCATCAGTGTCTTACAGTTTTCTTTTTAAAGTACAGGTCTTTTCCCTCCTTAGGTAAATTTATTCCTAGGTATTTTATTCTTTTCGATGTGATGGTAAATGGGATTGTTTCCTTAATTTCTCTTTCTGATTTTTCATTGTTAGCGTATAGAAATGCAACAGATCTCTGTGCATTAATTTTGTATCCTGCAACTTTACTGGATTCGTTGATGAGTTCCAGTAGTTTTCTGGTAGCATCTTTAGGATTTTCTATGTATAGTATCATGTCATCTGTAAACAGTGACAATTTTACTTCTTCCCTTTTAATTTGAATTCCTTTTATTTCTTTTTCTTCTCTGATTGCTATTGCTAGAACTTCCAAACCTATGTTAAATAAAAGTAAGGGGAGTAGACATCCTTGTGAGGAAATGCTTTCAGCTTTTCACTGTTGAGTATGATGTTAACTGTGGTTTTGTCATATATGGCCTTTATTATGTTGAGATATGTTCCCTCTATGCCCACTTTCTGGAGACCTTTTATCATAAATGAGTGATGAATTTTGTCAAAAGCTTTTTCTGCATCTATTGAGATGATCATATGGTTTTTGTTCTCCAATTTCTTAATGTGGTGTATCACACTGATTGATTTGCATATACTGAAGAATCCTTGCATCCCTGGGATAAATCCCACTTGATCATGGTGTATGATCCTTTTAATGTATAGTTGGATCCAATTTGCTAGTATTTTGTTGAGGATTTTTGCATCTATATTCATCAGTGATATTGGCCATAATTTTCTTTTTTTGTGGTATCTTTGTCTGGTTTTGGTATCAGGGTGATGGTGGCCTCATAGAATGAGTTCAGAAGTGTTCCTTACTCTGCAATTTTTTTGGAATAGTTTCAGAAGGATAGATGTTAATTCTTCTCTAAATGTTTGATAGTTCACCTGTGAGGCCATCTGGTCCTGGACTTTTGTTTGTTGGAAGTTTTAAAATCACAGTTTCAATTTCAGTACTTGTGATTGGTCTGTTCATATTTTCTATTTCTTCCTGGTTCAGTCTTGGAAGACTGTACCTTTCTAAGAATTTGTCCATTTCTTCAAGGTTGTCCATTTTATTGGCATATAGTTGCTCGTAGTAGTCCTTTGTATTTCTGTGGTGTCAGTTGTAACTTTTCCTTTTTCATTTCTAATTTTGATTTGGGTCATCTCCCTTTTTCTCTTGATGAGCCTGGCTAAAGGTTTATCAATTTTGTTTATCTTTTCAAGAAACCAACTTTTAGTTTCATTGATCTTTTCTATTGTTTTCTTCATCTCTATATCATTTATTTCTGCTCTGATCTTTATGATTTCTTTCATTCTAGTGACTTTGGGTTTTGTTTGTTTTTCTTTCTCTAGTTGCTTTAGGTGTAAGGTTAGGTTTTTTATTTGAGATTTTTCTTGTTTCCTGAGGCGAGCTTGTATTGCTATAACCTTCCCTCTTAGGACTGCTTTTGCTGTGTCCCATAGGGTTTGGATGTTTTTGTTTTCATTTTTCTCTAGGTATTTTTTGATTTCTTTTTTGATCATTTCAAGTTAACTTTTGTGAATGGTGTAAGAGAGGGGTCAAATCTCATTCTTCTGCATGTGGTTATCCAGTTTTCCCAACACCATTTATTGAAGAGATTATCCCTTCCCCATTGAGTATTCTTGGCTCCCATGTCAAATATTAGTTGACCATATATGTAAGGGTTTATTTCTGGTCTCTCAGTTCTGTTCCATTTGTCTATGTGTCTATTTTTATGCCAGTGCCATATTACTTTGATTACTATAACTTTGTAGTATAGTTTGAAAGCAGGAAGTGTGATCCCTCCAACTTTATATTGTTTCTCAGGATGGCTTTGACTATTTGTGGTCTTTTATGGTTCCATATGAATTTTAGAATTGTTGTTGTTGTTGTTTTATTTCTATAAAAATACCATTGAAAATTTTGACAGGGATTGTACTGAATCTATAGATAGCTTAGATGGTATGGAGTCTATGTTCTTAATGATTAAACTCTGGTAGTTTTTTGTGATAAATGCCAGAGCTGAAAGGGAACTTAGAAGTTAATTACTTCAAACCCCTCATTTTACAGATTCAACTGAAGTATGGTTAAAGTATTGCTGTTTACTATTTGTCCTATCCTGGATCAAATTTAGGCATCCCAAGTTTCATCCTGTTTACTTTACAGCATCACTGAACTAAAGCAGAGTGTAAGTGAGACTCCCAACTGTGCTGGTTATCTGCCAGTCATTCCAGATGCACATTCCATCCTGCTTACTACCCAGGAAGCTGACTTACATAGGCTGACCAATGGATTCCCTTGCTCTGTGGATTCTAGTAGGGTTTGACCGGTTTGGGGGCAATAGCAGGAGATTCAGGAAGGAGGGTGAAGCTAGAGTATTTATTCTAACAAGCTGTATAGTTATTTATTACTGCTTAACAAACTACCCCAAATTTAGTGGTATAAAATTACCATTTTATTAGGCTCACTAATTTTGTGGGTCAGGAATTCAGACAGAGCACAGTGAGGATGGCATGTCTCTGCTCCACTACGTTTAGGGTCTTATCTGGGACTCAGCTGTTAAGGTGGCTTCACAGCTGGGAGCTTATTATCTAAGCTCCCAGTTTACATGTTCACTCACGTGCCTAGCTGCTGATGTTAGTTATTGGCTGGGACTTCAGTTGAATGTACGAGCAAAATACCTCCATATAGCCTCACCATTGCCCTCTCCACCTGGGTGAGTTTGGGCTTCTTCACAGTACAGCATCTTGGTTCCAGTAATGAGTGTCCCCAAGAAAGCAGATAGAAGTACGTGGCATTTTTATGTTTTAATCTTGGGAGTTGCACAGTGCCACTTCCATCATGCTCTGTTGGTCAAGAGAGACACAAAGCTCTGCCCAGACTCAAAGGGAGGGAATATAGATGCCAACACTTTATGGGAGAAATGTCAAGGTCACATTGTAAGAAAAGCATGTGGGGTAGGAGAGATTTTGCAGTCACCCTTGGAAAATATAATGGGTAACAGATTGAGATGTGAGGACTACATCTGTATACACGAGTATGGCTCAACTGGAAAGGCATGCCTAGAAGGGAAGGAAGTATATTATAGAATTTATGAAAATGTAAAAGAAGTAGTATGTTATACAACTGTTATTCAGGGTACCCCCCAGGCCTTAAAAAATAAGTAAATAATTGGATCTAGAACAGAGTTCCTAAAATATCCTCAGTTCTTCCTGTGAAAATGAATGTTCTTGACTATACTGTGTGTCCTCTGAAAGCAGTTCTTCCCTCCCTGCTCTCCTCTCTCTCTCTCTCTCTCCCTCTCTCCCTCTCTCCCTCTCTCTCTCTCTCTCTCTCTCTCTCTCTCTCTCTCTCTCTCTCTCTCTCTCTCTCTCTCTCTCTCTGTCTCTCAGAGGATATTGTGAGGACAGTATGGGTGGGGAGATCTCTTGGGGCAGGAAAGAAATTGCTCAGTGTTTCTCCTTTTACAGCGGCAGTAATCTTGCCACCGTATGCAACACAGTCTTTAGGAGGGCAGGAAGGTGGGATCTACTTCTGGAGTAATGCTAGAAAGAAATTTAGTGCTGTTTCCATAAAGATTTTCAGAGGGTCTTTGATAAATATGAAAATGCTGAAAACAAGGTTCCACAAATATATATACCTCACTCTAGTCATGGGATTATAGAAGCAAAAAGAGACCTTAGAGCCTATTTATGGCCCAGCCCCATTATTTTGCAGGCATGGAAACTGGAAGTGAGAGGTTAAGTGGCACACCTAAGTTCTACACTACTTGGACTTCTGCCATTTGTGACAAATTTGAAATAAGTCCCGACTCAAACCCCCCACTCTTCTCAGAGGTATATATTTTAAATTAAACTTTGTATTTTGAGATAATGGTAAATTCACATGTAGCTATAAGAATAATAGAGATCTCATGTTGTCCAGTTTCTCCCAATGATAATATCTTGCAAAACTATAGTGCAGTATCATAAGCAGGATATTAACACTGATACAGTCAAGATACAGAACATTTCCATCACCGCAGGGGCCCCTTATGTTGCCCTAAAAATAGCCACACATACTTCTTCCTGCTCCACCCCCTCCTTAGCCCCTGGTAACCACTCATTTGTCCTCCATTTTTATAATTTGTCATTTAAAGAATCTTACGTAAGTGGACTCATCCAGCATGTAGGCTTTTGGGATCAGCTTTTTCCACTCTGCATAATTCTCTGGAGATTCATTCAGGTTGTTGTGTATCAGCAATTTGTTCTTTTTATCACTAAGTAGCATTCCAAGGTGTGAATGTACCACTGTTTAACCATTCACCAGTTGAAGAACATCTGGGTTGTTTCCAGTTTCATGCTGTTACAAATAAAGTTATTATAAACATCATATTCAGGTTTTTGTGTGTAAACATAGTCTTCATTTGTTTGGAATAAATGCCTAGGAGAGCAATTGCTGGGTTGCATGGTAGTTGCATATTTAGTTTTTTAAAGAAACTGCCAAACTATTTTCCAGAGTGGCTGTATCATTTGACATCCCCACCAGCAATGTACGAGTCATCTAGCCTCTCCATATCCCCACCAGCATTTGGTGTCATAGCTATTTTTCACTTTAGCTGTTCTAATAGGTGTGTAGTGCTATCTCTTTGTGGTTTTAATTGGCATTTCCCTGTAGACTAATGATGTTAGGCATCTTTTCATATGCTTATTAGCCATCTGTTTCTCTTCTTTGGTGAAATGTATCGCAAGTATATTTTTAAATGTTTAATATGAGCAAAGTCTATCTGCCCACTCTCCCACCCATCCTTAGGGTCTTGTTTGCCAAGGTTCCAGTCCCTATGTTCACGAAAGGAAACCAACTTGCCCACCATTTTCCAGCCCCACTGCCCTCTGTCAGCATCTTTAGCATGTCAAACTCTTCATATTTGACCAGCAAACACAATGACTCTACGACCAATCTGCTTGTTTCCCCATGTGTCTGGCTCTTCTCAACTTTGAATCTTGGCTTAAAGGCCACTTCTTCCGAAAGGTCTCCCTTGACTTCCTTAAGTTGGTCCTATTGTAACTCTGGTTTCCCTCCCCTTATGTTTACCCCAGTTTGCAGTTTCACTTATCTGTTTGCTTGTCACCGTCTTCACTTACATCATCTTATATAAACTGCATCAGGCCAGGGACCTTGTGTCTTTTCTCACTTGAAGCCTCAGCATCTGGGCTAAGTGACAAGTATGTAACAAATCCACAGATTTGGTGAATGACTGGGTACATTTCAGTGCCACTTTATCCAGATTTCAAGTTACCACAGACTTTTCCCCCTTTAATGTAGTTTCTATCATTTCCCTTTTTTATTTACCTATGATCATCACGATCACCATCCTCAGGATTAAGCTAAGACATACATATTTTACCATGTAAAACAATAGTATGAAGGTCTATTTTAGATTGAGTTGGCATTTGGTCACTAAACGTATTTCATGAATACTTAACATAGAAAAATTTTATTTAGTGTATTAATGTGTGTTATCTGGTGCATGATCCAATTTCATAAAATAAAAATGTTTATGTATGATTGAAGTATATAGGAATATACACTAAAGTAGTATTGTGGGCTGAATTGCATCCCCCCAGATTTATATGTTGAAGTCTTAATTAACCCCATTACCTCAGAATGTGGCTGTATTTGGAGAGGTAGATGAGGTTATTAGGGTAGGCCCTAAACCGATATGACTGGTGTCTTTATAAGAAGAGGAAATTTAGACACAGATACACACAGAGGGAGGACCACATGAAGACCCAGGGATAAGACAACCATTTACAAACCAAAGAGAGGCCTCAGAAGAAACCAAACCTGCCAACACCTTGATCTTGGACTTCTAGCCTCCAGGACTGTGAGAAAATTAATTTCTGTTATTTAAGTCACTCAGTCTGTGGTATTTTGTTATGGCAGCCCTAGCAAACTGACGCAAATAGTAACAGCAGCAATATGTGATGGTAGAATTGTGGGAATTTTCTGTTTGATGCTCTGCATTTTTAAATTTCTATAAAATTATCTACTAATTTTGTCACTAAAATTATTTTAATCTTACCCCACCCTGAGCTGATAGATGGAGCTGGTTTGAGATGAAACTAATGATAACATAATAAATGAAGAAGGAACAAGTTGGCTAATTAATCCCCCTCTTGTCATTGAGGAATATGGAAATAAAAATCAAATTCATAGTTGAGGTTGACTGAATCTTAGTCAAAGGAAAGTGTACTGAATGGTTGGTGCTCTGACCAGACCATGATCACCCAGGCAAGAAGGCCTGCAGCCCTTACCTTGGAAGTGGAACTTCAGAGTGGCCCATGACACAGTCTCCAGGGACTATGCATGGGTCTTCCAAAGCTTTGATCTGAGACTCACAGAACAAATTGACCACATACATTCCTTACTAGTTACTGGAAACAAATTCCAGACCAGGCTGTCCACGTCAAGAGGGACGATGGACATTGGCTCTGGAAGTCAGCCAGGCAGTAGAGTGTGTGGGACTGATGCATTCAACCTCTCACCTCATTAACAGGGTCATTTTGTTCATACATCTTCTTTCATCCCCTTGAATAAACGCAACTGGCCAAGGGTAGCCAAATATGATCAGATAAAATCTGTTGGACTCAAGGACCTTCATCAGCTGGGCCAATCCTCATTTCACAGGGGAGAAAACTAGGACCCCAAAATGCTCAGAGTAGTATTCACAGCGCTCACACCTGTGTGTCCAGAATATTTATAGCAGTCTACCTCAGTCTGAAGTTAGAGATAAAGATTCCTCGGAGACCTACCAAGCCTAAAATTTCTCATGCTACAAACAGCACTTTGGATTCCCTTGCCAGGCCTTGTCTAATATCTCAAAGGGAAATACATTTAAGGGATGTTCCAAAGTTAATTGTTTATCTTATGACATTGGGCTAGAAGTTAAAATCCTATCAGTACCACATCTGGAAAATATAAAGAGATTGATTAACAGTTGGAGAAATCTGTACTATATCACTGAAAAGTAACTCAATCTCACCAGTGAATACTGTTCAATAATTACTCTTTTGATAAATTGTTTCCTCTCTTCAGTGTGCAGGGATACAGATATTTGTTTTACAGTACTTTGAAACTAATAAACTAGGGAGCAGATTCATTTGAGAATCAGGTCCAAAGGATTAAATATGCACTTAATTATATTTCTATCATATATACTCTATTAGACCTTAACTAAATTCCTGTGCACTACAAACTTATTTACTTATTTTATTACAGTATAGTTGATTTACAATATTGTGTTTCAGGTGTACAGCAAAGTGATTCAGTTATACATACGTACATTTTTTTCAGATTCTTTTCCATTATAGCTTATTATAAGATACTGAATATAGTTCCCCATGCTATATAGTAAATCCTTGTTGTTTATCTACAAACTTTTTAAGAAATAAAATTGGATGGGACAGTCTGTCCTCAAGGAGAGCTCAATCTGGTGAAAGAATTAGACACATGAGATGCTGACTTGAACAAGAATAACAGAAAATGTTACTCTGCTCTCCCTACTACCTGTTCCGCAGAACATTTGCTTCCTTGTACCTTAGAAGAATCTAGGACAGGTCTCCCCAATAACTTTTCTGGTAAATCCCAAATAATAAAGTCCTCTGGTTACGTCTAAAGGGAAAAAAGTCTTCTTTCGGTAATTCATTCCCTGTCAAAACACCAAATTTCATTTTAAGGTAAAGACTCCCCTTCCTGGCAGCTTATCCATCTCCCTCCTGGGGACCTGCTATTCCTCTCCCACTTGCTAGGCTGCCTCTGGCTCCTGTTAGGCTAGAGCCTAAGGTGGGGGCCAGAGGTTTGCTCAGAGGCAGGCATGGGTTTGGCTGGCACTCAGGTGATCTTGGGCCAGAGCAGGTGTCTGGTTGACAGTATCTCCCATGGGTTGTTTGGAGGCCCCCACTGGGAACTGCAAAGGAACTTCCTGTGACATGGGTGATGCCCTTTCTTCAGGGTGCCTGCTTACATCTCCTCCCTCAAACTCCGGGAATTGGATGGTCCATCTCTCAGTTGGGGTAGCCATCCCTTCAGGGAAGTCCTTTTCAATAGCATTTGCAATAGCTCTCAGCTGGCTCTCTCCATCAGGACCCACAGGACCACTGAGCTGTGAAGGGACAGACTGCTGGCTTCTAGGGCAGCCTGGTTGAACTCTCAGCTCATTACCACTGCTTCTTGCCATTAGCATCTTCAGTAGTGTTTTACTCTGTTCCCCAAACTCCAGGGGATATAGATCAAACTCTCTTAGCTCATCAAAGACCTGATCACTAAGCTTGGGGAAGGGGAAAGAACGCTTCACGTCTCTTCCATGAGGAGGGGAAGGCTCACTGTACTAATAACCCCCTCCTGAGAAATCCTTTGTTTTTCTAGCTTACAATTTCTTGACTCAATTCTTAATTCTCACTTCTATGGCCTGGATACAGCCAGGGGATACAATTTGTTTCCAACCAACTCCTCTGGAAGTTCTGCATAGGCAAATACGACACCTGGTAACGCTTTGGATTGTGGGGTTGGTTGCTTTTCGGCTCTCAGCAAAAAATCAGAGTTCCATCTTGTCATATTAGCAAATATGTCATTAATGTGAGATAAGTGAATGCTAGAATAGAAACACACAAAAGCTTTTGTAGTAAATAATACTAGTCTACACTAGAGAAGGGGAGGTGTTAGTAAGTTTCTCATAAAGCTGAGGAACTCTCCTAAGCTGAGTTCCAAGAGGTAAGAATCCAGAAAAGAGGGAAGAGGATGTTCCAAGTTAGGTCATTTTCAACTGCAAGGTCAATTTGGATTCCTTGGGGCTGTTTGCTACAATAGCTAACGTGACTCAAATACTCTGCATTTTTACCAAACAAAACAACATTTAACATTATAAAGTGTTCTTTCCCAGAAAAGTTGAACCTGAATCTAGAGTCTCTAGTGTGACCTTTTATTTACAGGAAGTACAAGGATAGAGGAATAAGTTAAGTGACACCAGCACAAGGAAACAGATGAATCCAGACTGGGGAACATTCAGAGGAACTGACCCATTTTCTGCAAAAAGACAACGGGGAAAAGTTGGGAAAAGGGTCAACTGTATATGCAAGAAACACAATAATCAAATGTGACATGTGGACTTTGTAGCTGATGCCAAAGAATTATTAATAATTTTATTAGGTATCATCCAGTATTGTGGTTAAGTAAGAATACATTCTTTCTAAGAGCGGCATACTTAAGTAGGCAAAGGAGAAATGACACAATGCCTGGTACTTACTTTGAACTACTTCAGCGAAGAAAAAGACAAAAGGGATAGTTAAGCTAAGATGG